ATGGATGTGATAGATTTAGCAGATTTCACCTCGGAAAATATCATACTAGAACATCATTTAAGTAAAAGTTTTCTATGGTGGTATAGATATGTGGATGATGTCTTTGCTTGCTTTGTTGGAACGGACAGACAATTGAATTCTTTTCACATCACATTAACTCATTACATAATCGTATAAAATTCACTATCGAGATTGAACAGGATAACTTTTTTTAGACTTAGCTATTACGAAACGCAAAACAAATTAGATTTTCCCAATCATCAACCTTCACACAGGGACACAGTCATACATAACAGCTCAAATCACCCCTAAACATACAAAATGGCTGCATTTTACTCTTTTATACACACACTTCTTAATACGCCACGCTCAACAGAAAATTACAACAAATCATTTAATATTATTAAACAAATTGCACTGAACAACGGCTACAATCCGTCCATTATAGATAAAATTATAAATAAAAAACAAATCCAGACAACAGTAAACTCAATTTATCCGAAACCTAATACAGAACGCGAACAATGAAAACAATTACATGCATAGGAGAACCCACTGAAAAAAGTGATAAAGCTTTCACAACTAATAACACAATAGGAAAATTTTTAAAAAATAATAAGACGAAATGTCCAAAATCTCAAATAATCAGGTGTCTACAGGTTGAAATGCGGATCTTGTCTTAAAATTTATATTGGACAACCAGGTAGATCCTTCAAGAAACGCATTAACGAACATATAAGAGCGTTTAAAAACAATAGTCGAGATTCTAATTATGCTACACACTTAAACACAGAAAAACACATTTTTGACGACAATTTTGATATTTTATATGCAGCCAGAAAAAACAGAAAATTAAATGTATTGGAAGCCATGAAGATTAACAAAATGAGACATTCAAATGTATAACATTTAAATACCTCTCCTTTATTGATCTTAAATTCTCACAACAACATTGATTAAGGTTTTATGGTCATTTTTCGGTATATGTAGTAGCAGGTAATTTGTAATTACATTTGATAAATACACGGTGTCGTCGAAACAATTGTGTATACTTTTGAGGGATAGTACAACAAAAAACCAACATCCCAAAAAAATATTTACGCAAAACACGCGGTAGAATAAAAGAAGAACTAATAAAAATCAAAGAATTTATCTAAGTTCCCTGATTTTTCCAGTTTTTCCAGACTAATGTGTGTAATGTAATACATTAAATAAGCTAAAATTGATTTTAAGGGTACGTTCAAAAAGTAAGGTTACTTTTGTAACGGGGGGAGGGAATCACTTTGAAGGGAACAACATTACTTTTGAACACACCTCGTATACCAGCCAAATTGACAAAAATAAATGGACACTTACCGCACTGTCGTATGCAGGACTTCTTGAAATGCCACCGGCAAAGGAGGGGGAAGGTTCAGAAACCTGAAAAAACTAACGTTACCAATTTTTAAAACATGCTCTTTCATTCGTCATACTTTTTGAACTGCGAGTTTCTCGGGCTTCGGTGTGGGTGCATCCTCTGCGTCACACTGCGAATTATCACACCGATTTCTGAAATGAGGGAGTAAAAACTACGTGTTTAAGAGAACACAGTACAAAGTAATTTTATCAACAATCAAGGGGCTTACCGCTTCCACGCTTGCTGCCATTTTTTAAATTTTAGCTCCAATTTTTTGCCGGATATTTCGACATCTGAAAAAGGAAAACATTATGGCGAAAGTTCATTTAGTTAATTTCTCTGTTTATACTTTATAACAAGTGCCAAATTATATTATATATATTTGAACAGCCAAAATTATATTAAAAAAATATTTATTTTCAATTGTGTTTATTTGTTAGCTGAAGCCATTTTGAAGTTCTTATTCTGATTTCACATACGGGCCCAAAGGTCACTAATAGGGTTATAAATTTAAATTTAACAACGAAGGCGCATTTAAATCCAACTGGTCATTAGGAAATAAATTCGAATATGTCATTTTGTTAATCTCCATGGCTTCCAAAAAATTTAGTTTTTTGTTTTTTGAATGCTTGTGTAATACAGACGCATTTAAATCCAATTGGTCATTAAGTAATAATAAATGATAAAAATTTAAATTTAAAACCTGTAATTAAAGTCTTGTTTTTATATACAGTGTGTCCAAGATAAGGATGCACAGCATGGGGATCTCGGAAACTATAAGAGATACAGTGTCGGTTAAATTAGACAAAAGTTGCGCATTTTGATACCGAACAAGATCCCGTTTTACAAATTTGAAAATTCCAAGCCGTTCCGGAAATATCCGAGAAAAGCCGAAATATTGCGATTTCGTTATTATTTTTTTAAAGCTATTTGAAAAGATATGAAAAAACGGAAAACACTTTTCCATTGGCACTTTTTAATCTCTCCAAATTGACGTTAACAAATTTTCATTACAGCGTTTCGATTCCATGGAACCACCATCAACTTTGATTTTTCTTATGGGACGGAAAAAAAGTACACACAGTATTAGGTTGTGCTTTTCATTGCGAATTCAACGATGTACGATACAATACGGTTACTTATGTTTTTATCCAGAAAAATGGCTTTTTAATACATTTCTAGTATTTTATTGTAGTAGGCCATGAGATCCGAACGATGAAAGGCAAAAGAAAATGTTCGAGTTAATGTGTTTATTTATTTACTAACTCTAACTGTTCATATAACATAACAACTAAATCCAACAAGTTAATGAAAAACAAATTCTATAACAAATGTTCGAATAAATGACCTCCATTTTCTAGGCATAAGTACGCCCGTCTCACGGTAGACTCCAAAACACGACTTAACATTTCAGGAGTAATTTTATTAAACGCTGCTCGTACTGATTGACGTAATTGTTCCTCGTTGTCAAAACATTCTTTGAATACCTCATTTTTTATGTAGCCCCATAAGAAAAAGTCCAAGGGAGTTATGTCCGGGGACCTTGGAGGCCAAGGTGTTTCACTGTAAGTCCCAATGTATTTTCCATCAAACCGTTCAGTTAAATATTGGCGAACTTCTCTGGAGTTATGGGCTGGGGCACCATCTTGTTGGAACCAGCAGCCTTGCACAGCGCCTAGCGGTAAATCATCTAAGGCATCTTCTAAATCGTGCCTCAAGATGTCAAGGTACCGCTCGGAAGTTAAGGAATTATTATAGAAAATAGGGCCTATAATCTTGCTACCAAAAATCCCACACCAAATATTAAACCCAAAGCGAACTTGATGTCTGGATAGTCTATTAACACGTGGATTTTGTTGCGACCAATAGTGTGTATTGCGCCTGTTATAAATACCGTTATTGGTCACCATACTTTCATCAGACCAAATCACTTTATATGGAAAATTAAAACTCTCATCACACATCCTGGTATACCACTCACAAAAATGTCTACGTCGTTCGTCGTCACCCGGTTTTAATCCTTGACATATTCTGAATTTGTAAGGCTTAAATTCATTTTTCCTTAAAATAAACTGAGCTGTAGATTTAGCTACCCCATTCTGGTCTTCAATTTCTCTGGTAGAAGTTTGTGGATTTTCGATAACAGATTGTAGAACAATGTATTGGTTTTCTTCATTGGAAGGTTTTTGTCGGGATAATGCAGGCTTCTTAAATGATCCATATTCTTTCAGATTAAATAACAAACGCCGAAAAATACTCTTGTCAGGTTGTCTCCGCTCTGGGTATTTGTTAGAATACATACGCTCGGCTTCCACACAATTTCTTTGGCATCAGATGTAGCAAGACAGCATATCACATTTTTCTTCGTTTGTAAAATTACCTCCCTCCATTGTAGAACAAAATAAATTAGAAAAAGACAACAACAATAAAAATACAAAAAGAATAACTAAAGGAATAAACTTATGATCGACTGATAACAAAGACGAATAACATTAATGTGTCATTGAAATTGACTGGATGTCATTTTGTCATGGCCTACTCCATTTAAATTCTAAAATGTATTAAAAATCCATTTTTCTGGACAAAAACATAAGTAACCGTATTGTATCGTACATCGTTGAATTCGCAATGAAAAGCACAACCTAATACTGTGTGTACTTTTTTTCCGTCCCATAAGAAAAATCAAAGTTGATGGTGGTTCCATGGAATCGAAACGCTGTAATGAAAATTTGTTAACGTCAATTCGGAGAGATTAAAAAGTGCCAATGGAAAAGTGTTTTCCGTTTTTTCATATCTTTTCAAATAGCTTTAAAAAAATAATAAAAACGAAATCGCAATATTTCGGTTTTTCTCGGATATTTCCGGAACGGCTTGGAATTTTCAAATTTGTAAAACGGGATCTTGTTCGGTATCAAAATGCGCAACTTTTGTCTAATTTAACCGACACTGTATCTCTTATAGTTTCCGAGATCCCCATGCTGTGCATCCTTATCTTGGACACACTGTATAAGTGTGTTGCCGAAACAGCTGTCATAAAGTTTTAAGAACTGTGAAAATCTGAACATTTTTTGTTCTAATTCAATTTGACTTGAATGAATTATCATCAAGTAAAAGCCACCTCAGTCCGAGAGAAGCGATTATTTTAACAACATTAATAGTTTAATCTAAATTGCAATTGTTCCTATATATTACTGTGATCTACATAGTTCTTGGAATTGTGAACAACAACAGTCTTTTTTAAGACTAGAGATTGTATTCACGGTCCGATGGCACACCAAAACAGACACGAAATCCTGAGATTACCCCCGTATTATTGTACATTTAACCCGATTGAGATGATTTGGTCTGAGTTGAAAGCATATAGAAGAAAAATAACACTGCACCAAAATTTAGCTGAAATATCAGTCTAACTGTGAAAAACGAGTCATAAAACAAGAAAATATTTATCGAGAACGATTAGTGGCGCAGTTGATCATTGACGACAGTAGCGATAGTAATTTGATGAAATAGAACCTAATAAATTGTTACCTTGTACTAATTTTTTAACTAATTTACACATACATACATCCCGCTTGTTAGTGTAGGTAGATAAATTCCTAGTATACTATAAATTCCTGGTATACGTACTTCGTAGAATATTATAAGCCTCCGTCCTGGTCCGATAACAGGAAAAGAAAACAGTGCAAGAATTGCCAGTGTCAAAGTCAACAGCAGCAACGTCTTTCAGGTTGCAATGAGTCTTCAAAATTTCGAACAACTCTTGCCTCGTTGTGTTCTGGATGTGAAGCGCTCTAGCCTGCAAAATTTTTTGAGGGGCGGCAGTGTTAATATCGCATTTTATTTCTAGCAATTACCAATAGCCTATTAAAAGTATGTAGAGCATGGATACAGTATATATAAAGTATATCGGTAAAATATAAAAATTCAAAAATTGACTATTAAATACCTCCGTTGCTCTAAGAATGTTAAAATATTTATTAACGGTGGGGATCAACGAGGTCTACCTATAGATCCCGCCTAACCAATTCTGTTTAGCCGCAATATATTTTTATAAAACCTTATAACCCTTTCACAAAATACGTTCCTGACGGTGAATGGTACCACCTATAACATGCAAAAGTAACTTTTCTCTAATTCGTTTTAGTTTTCTTTAAGTACCTTCGTTGCTCCAAGAATGTTAAAATATTTAATAAACGTCGAGGTGTAATGAGGTCTATCTATAGATACCTCAAAGTCCCATTCCGATTAGATATTTTTTTTTATTTTGTTGACCCTCTCACATAAATCAATCCTGGCTGAACGGTACCATCTGTAATCGTTTGGTTTGGTACTATTTGATAGGGAAGGGTGAAAATGTATACCCTAAACATTCAAGATTTTCACTATTGTGATTTTAAATTCACATTTAAACAGTTTTAGATTATTTTTTATATTTTTAGAGATTTTCTTTTAAAAGCATACCTGAATGCAAACAAGTTTTAGAAGAAGCCAACTTAACGTCAGTTGGAAAATGATTTAAATTTTGCCAAAAATGAAAGACTAATACTATTTACAAATCTTCTGGATTCCTCCTGCGTCGATTCATCACAAACCGACGCAGGGGGAATCCAGAAAATTTGCAAATATTGCAGTTGCCCGAAACCAGTTTAAGAGAGCTACAACATACGCAGAAAATAATACACAGTAGATGTGGCAACACTGATATGACTCAAATATTTTAATGTAAAGTTTATAGCTCGCTACAGCCAATCTTTTTCCATTCTCCATATACTGGCAATCGAGTTAAATTTGGTAAACTCAAAATATAATGACGACGTTCAAGATTCTAAAAAAGATACCTCTAAAAAGTGCGTTGGTATGGACCAGTGAATACCGATGGTGTGACCCCATAAAGTTGTATGGGACCAAACTTTCTTTTTGGCCTCCGCAGCTTGCTTGTGAGTTTCATATTCTAACACGCACAGTTTGGTGGGGCGACCGTCTCTGTTTAACATTTGGACGTTGTTCAGGCCGCAGCCTATGATCCGAGACACCTCGCTAACCACTTGATTTTGAGTGATATAATACGGAATACCTACATAACAAACATAAATAATGCACCCAGCTGCGCAAATACTAATTATAGCAGCAAATGTTAAGTGTGAAAGTTTGACGATTTTTTATTCCTAATAAAATGTCATAATAGTATATTATGCAACAAGTGCAGTAAGCGGCATTTGATTGACTAGTTTATTTGACGCGAGCGGAGCGAGTGTTTAATAAACAAGGGAATTAAAAAGTCTACCGAACGTGTTGCATACTATACTTTTTCTACGACCGTTACTTTTTGGGTACATTTTCGCAAATCAACTCGAAGACAATCACTGACATGACCGTCAGATTTGAAAAACGTCAAAATTCAAATCGTCGGAAATATCTCCGAAAACATCCGATTGCATCCAAACGCATGCGGTAATATCCCGGAAATGTCCGAAGGGGCTCGGATCGATTCTAACGATATGGAGCATGTTATTGTGAAAAGTAAAGCTCCTATGAGTGTTTTTGTTTTTTTCGCGTTTCAGCTTACCGTTGTTCATTCAGTTGTCAAAATTATTACTTAAAATAAAACGTTGCTAGTATGGTTACCATGGTGACAAAAAACGAACGATGTATTATTTCGACAACTTATTTATTTCAAAATAAATATTTTTGCTACAATGGAGCTTCCCAACTCAGAAAAATGCGATGTGTTGAGTGCTACATGAAGTGCAATAAAAATAATTACTTTAACAGATATTTTGACTGTCATCAATGCCAACTTTAAAAGGCTGCATGTGTGTATTTATGGTAGTTTTACCCAGCCAAAAAAAAAAATGGAAAAAGAATAAACAAACCTGCTGAAAGTGTTTTAATTATTTATTAAAAGAACTCAGGGAACTGTGAAGAAAATTTTCCACCCATAGAAGTTGTCGGTATCGCAAACTTTACATCCTTGCAGCCATTTTCAATTTCAGATTTTATGGACCATGTACCCAAAAACTAATAGTTGTAGAAAAAGTATAGTACGCTTCGCTCGTGTCAAACTCATGAGTCAAATACCATTTACCGCACTTGTTGCACAGTATACTATTTTTAATGTTTACGATTGGTGAGTTAAGTAATTATTATCCTTTTAAGTTTGTACTTTAATCTGTAATTGGGTTTCATCCGTAGAGTATTTTACAGAGTATTTTTACAGAAAATTTTCCGTGCAAAAAACTTCAAGCTATTTATTTTTAAATTACAGTAGTAAAGTTCAGTCAGAGCAATTGAACAGTTGCGTGATAAAATGACATCTTTATCTATTTCATTATTGGATGTGGTAGAATGACACAAGAATATAGCTAAGACATACGGATCATTTTTTTATTACGTCACTATACGTGACGCAACGGCACAAACGCTCTGACTCTACAATAGTTGACGTATTACTTTTCTGGAATGACGTCACGCTGGTTTCAAATAACGTATTTCTCATATTATTTGTATTTTAGCCACGATCTCTAACCTAAGCGTATATACATATATATTTATGATTGCTGTATTGCCAAGTTGCATTTCAAGCAATTGCATTATCAATTTGCGGAAGGATTCCATTTTTAGCTTGTTCAAATTGAAAAAAAGCCCAGATATTTAAAACTATCATCGAACATTTCAACATATGTCTAAAAGACACATAACCAACACCCATTGACTGTTATAAGGAAACCTCTACGACTTTTTTCATATTGTTTTGTCTCTGCCAGTTGACATAGATTAAACAAGATTGCTTTCGAAAAATTCGTAGAACTCTCTCTCGACACAGTTTACGATACTGTTCAAATAAAATTATCCCATCTTTAACGGCTTTTCACTTATCGCCAATAGTTTACTCAGAAAAACGAAAATTTTTAGGATCTTAGGATCTCTTAGATTTTTTAACAATTTTCGAAATAGAGGTTATAGCCCTGGATCTTCTACGTTTCCTGGTCCAAGAATTTTTCGAAAATAGTAAATGGTTTTCGAGAAAATAAGTTTTTTCTGAAACCATGCAGTGCGGCGTAATATCGGCTTAAATTTTTCAGTTTTTTTTTTGAATCTGCGGCGCATCCTGTATATCTTTGAAAAATTGTCATCTGTATTGGAGTTGTATCTTTTGCGTCTTCTGGTTCAAGAATTTTTGTGGTCTCGTAAACGGTTTTTGAAAAATGATGTTTTTTGTTGACCCTTGCACACGCGATTTTTAATTTTTTTAGAATACTTCCCAACCTCCCAACCCCTCATTTTCAGTAGCTACCGTCACGAGGCAAAGCTGCATATATGTGCCAAATATGAAGTCGATTGCTTGAAATTTTAGACACTAATCGTGTTTCATAGCAATGTCCAAAAAACAGTCGAAAATCGCGAAAAATAGATGGATACGGGCGTCGGATCAGGGTCATTTCTTATAAGCTTTTGTGCCTCGTACAGGGTCAAAAAAGGAGAAAAATTTCAATTTTGTGACTCCAACGGTTCGAAAGTTATCCAGGAAAAGCCAAGAGAACGGAGCACGGACAAACAGAAAAAAAAAATTTTTTTCGACGATGATCATTTCTGTACCAACGGCGATCCCATAGGACCTACCGTTACCGAGATATAAAACTTTTGTACGAGCGTTGATACTTTCGAAGCATTCGATTTTCGAAAGTAACGTACGAAGTGTCTTTCACATCTCTTCGAACTTCAAAGTTACGCCAAACTTTGGTAAATTCAAAAATTTTTACAAATAATAGCGATTCCCAATTATATTTTTTCAAATATCTGGCGCACCCTGATGATACACGAAACTTGAAACTCTCTCTCGACACTGTTTAAACCAAATTATCCCATGTTTTATAGTTTTTCCTTAACGCCTAATAATTTACCCACGAAAACAGCAATTTTCCGGACCTCTTTGTTTTTTTTTACAAATAAAAGTTGTAGCCCTAGAATTTTTTCAATATTATAAATAGTTTTTGAGAAAATAGTAAATGACGTCATCGCGACTAGATTAATTGACAGACGAAAATCGTAAATACAAAAATTGTAGCCTTTGATACGGCCTATAACACTGTTTTAGCGGATTGCAACGGGGCAAAGCTGCATATATGTGCCAAATATGAAGTCGATTGCTTCAAATTTCAGACACTTATCGTGTTTCATAGCAATGTCCAAAAAGCAGTCGAAAATCGAAAAAAAAAAAAGAAAAGATGGACGCCGAAGTTTCACCGCAGGCATTTTACATATGTTATGCATCCCGTGGACTGTTAAAAAGGAGCAAAATTTGAAGCGTCCAGCTGAAACCGTCCGGAAGTTATCGTGGAAAATGTCCAGGAAGAGAGAACGAAGAACGAGATTACATCGATTTTTCGAAAGCAAACAAAAAAATAATCAAAAATGACGTCGTTCCAGAAAGGTAATGCGCCAACTATGTGCCGTTTTTATGTCGACACTGTTTCCCTTTAAAAGTGTGCAATTCGGTATGTACTCACCGGTCATCACCAATTTGTTATTGTCGTACGACGTCATTACTTTCAGAATCCGACCCGGTCGGATCTCAGTATCCGACAATAAAAAAACGGCTTTTATGGCAGCGAACAGAGTCAAATAGTTGACGTAACACTTGCCACGACTACGACCGTCGAAATCGATCATGAATCGCATGCTGTAAATTAGACCTGCTCGTCTCATAAACTCGTAAATGTCCGGCATGCACACATCACTCGGTATATCGACGACGTACACTTCGCAACCCCTCGGTGGTACCGCGTAACGATTATGTGTCGCCACTATTTGCGTTCTTTCGCGACGCGTCTCGAAGTTTGCCGGCATTTTGTGATCGTCATCGATAGGTAAGCGGCACCACATGGTTTCGACAAAGATGGCGTCCAGAACGGTTATAAACACGCAATGCACTTTCGCAGTGTGGCGATTTATAACTGGCTTAAAGGTATGCCGCTGAAAGCCACGCCCAGCGTTACCAACCCTACTGTTTTAACAGTAGATTTGCTGTTTTCACATTAATGACCATGTTTTCTGTTTCATTGCTATTTTCTACTGTTTTTCGCGTTCAGCGCCACCTAATACACTACTATGCAAACATTTTTTGATAACCACTACGCAATAAAACGCAATGACAAACCACTACGCAATAAAACGCATTGATACTAGATGGCAGTATCTTTTTTATATTTTTATGCACGGGGAAATCCCTATTTACGAATAACAGCTACACGCCTATTGTATTGCGTAGCGTAGTTATTGTTTTATAGTCACACGTCACAACACCTTGAACAGTTTCTTTGAACTGCGGCGTCTATTTTGAAAAAATAATAATTACAAATTTTTTTGATAAAATGAGAAGTGACTGGAAAAAGTCCTCCTAAGAAGAAAAATGTGAAATATGAATAGAAATTCGTAAATTCGTGGTTAAAAGATGATAGGTTCAAAGGCTGGTTAAAGAAAAGCACTAAGGGTGAGACTTATTTCTTTTGTTCTGCGTGTAATTGCGTCAGAAAATGTGGTATACACGAACTGTTACGACGCAAAGATTCAACCAAACACGCGAAGAATAGTTTGTAGTTACAAAAACAACAAAAACTGACATCATTGTTTACCGGAGCTTCCAATTCACAAGATACGAAAATTGCAGCTAAAGCGGGTGAAGTAAATTATATTTACTATACGACAAAATACTGACCGCATACACAACGATCTTGGAATGCTTTGTACAAGCTGAATATTTGGATCTCACTGAACGAGAAAAAAATGAAGCACAAAATATTTTAGACGCAAAAGAAACTAAAATATTAAACCTTGACTTCTCGAGTGAGCAGAAACATTTACCGATGCAACATATATACGTTGGTGGAATGGTGCCAAATTTGATCAGAAGAAAAAGAGAAATAGGAGAACTAGCGGAAGAACAGCTGAAAAATTTCTACTTAAAGTTTAAGGAGTTTTATATCGAGGCTGCAAAACAGATATTAAAAGGGTTTCCTTTTGACGACAGAGACCGTCAAGCATTAAAATGTCTGAAGATGCTAAATCCTAAAGCAATTATGGATCCTGAAATAAAAAAGAAAATCACTTCCATTGCAGATTTACATTATTTCTTCCCAAAGATTTGTCCAAATAATATAACTGAAGTGGATAGAGAATGGCGAATGTTAAGAAATGTCGATTTTTCTTTCGACCAAAACAAAACTCCCGATATTATCGACTTTTGGAAACATGTACAAGAATTAAGAAATGGAGACGAATCTCAAACATTCCCTACATTGTGTGAATTGGTAAGCTTTTGTGCCTACCGCATAGCAGCGCCGCCGTGGAAAGGTTATTTTCTGCTATAAATATTACGAAAACCAAATTACGCAATAGAATATCGACTACAACTATTAAAGGAGTATTACACACTAAATCCGAAATAACTGATTGCTATTCAATTGAAGCACATGAAGAAATTCAACAAAAACACGTATGATTTTAAAAATAAAAATGATTGTGAAAATATTGAAGATGAGGCAATTGAAAATGAAACTGAAAAATAATTTTACTTTGATTTTTGTTTTATGTTGCTGTGATTATAAATATATCAATTTATGTGAGTTCTAGTAATTAAGAAACTTGTTTATTATTTAATTATAAGAGCAAAATTATGAAATCTGCCTTTTTTTCTTTACCTACCGCTTTCTGTTTTTTTTTAGGCGAGTTGTTTTTTAATTTTTTGAGGTTGGCAACACTGGCCACGCCCCTTTCAATATGGTCGCCAGTGGTGCCGCTAATCGGCGGTGATTGTGGTCTTTTTTTTTTCATGTAATTTAGGGATTAGTGGTGGGTACGGTTGTAAACAAAAAACATAATTTTGATAAGTAAGTCTCATACAGGGTTGCCCATTTTGGCTGTAAACGCAAGAAATTCTCCGTTCTTAGCAGGCATATAGTTGGCTCATTAATAATAATCATATATATATATATATATATATATATATATATATATATATATATATATATATATATATATATATATATATATATATATATATATATATATATATATATACACATATATACATATATATATATATCCTGTTGTCCACATGGGTTAAATGCCACCGACCTGCGAGAGTGGGACGATTGCGAAAACGAATATAATTTTATAATCTTAATAATTGTTTAACTTCCTCAAAAGGCCAATCGACTTTGTCATTAATAGAAATAAAAAAAATGCTTTTCTGAAACTGTTTATTACAAAAAAAAAAAAGAACAAACAACACAAAATTAAAAGAAACAAAACATTTAAAAATAAAACAAAAATATGTAAACAATCTAATCTAATAATAAATCTAATATAATAATAATAATAATAATATAAATAGTATAATAGTCTAATAACAAATCTATTAAAGTTTCAAAGATCGTCAGTCAAAAGTTTGTTAATCATGCTCTGCAACAAAAAAAAAATCAAATAAGAGACTAAATTTTTCTATCCTTACTTTTAAAATAACTAGTTCTATTTGTTGATATTGAGGACTAAGCGGAGTATTTTGCAGTTTTCGATCATTTAAAAAATATGCTTTTATTTATGTTTGATTTTTATTTATATACGGTATGTTCAACCTAAGAACTTTGTACGATCTTTGTTTATGGGTGGATTTTCTTTTTTTTTTGTGAGATAGATCTCCCAAAAATATACTAAAACCTCCTTTTGCTTATTGCTTTAATTCAAGTCAACTCAAGTCAAGTCAAGTCAAGTCAAGGCCAACTGGGACTACTTAACAAAAAATTACGGATTTTTTAAAGCATAGATTGTCAACGAATTCTTATTCAGATAAAACATATCGAAATTGTTTAAAACAAACAAGGAATTTAAATATTAGTTATATCAATTAGGTCAATATCCAACAAAAAAAAATCGAACCATAAAGAAAGAGCAAAGTTCATTACCTCCATGACATCAAAAGTTGTTAGAAAATGGTCAACACGATTATTAGGATGTAAAATTATTACACAGGGTGGCGAATAAAACATACATTTTTTTCTGGAACATCGTATTTTTCATAATAATATATGCCCCTAAACCTAAGTTAATCCTATATTTTAATTTTTGTAAAAATACAAGTTTTTACACTTGCAAAAAAAATTACGATAGCACTTTTATATACGAAAAGATAAATCACTGATATTTGATATTCTGCACCGTTATGAATGGGGAATGGATATTTAATATTATCTACTTTTTGTGTGAATTTAACGTTTTGGCCGTTATTTTCACAGAAAAGTAAATATTGGAAAAGATAAAGTAATAAAAATAGGTATGGTCTGTTCATAGATATAAGAAAGTGACCAATTGTTTTTGAATGGGATTATCCAAGGGTGGTCATTACTATTCAATGCAACAAGATTATTACCTAAAGTTTCAGAATTTAAATTCAGGTAAAATTGTGGTCCGTAATGGAAAATAATTTTATGCCTACCTGTGTTTAATATTCTTTGGTGTGGTATACTACTTAGTTTAAGTGTGTGTGAATCAAAGTGATCAAGATGTGTTGAATCGTGTGCGAATTATGCAAAATATGTGCGAGTCTAGTGTATCTCAGGAGATGCTCCCGTCCAAATGTAGAAAACACTATTGTATTGAGACTAAGGAAGTTATAAACAATGTTTATTTGACTCTCATTAAACGTGGTGCCAGCAAGCAAGCATTTCAAAAGAAACTGCCACATTGACGAAAATTCCAACATCAACTGTATGGAAAATTTGCGAATAATCCCATTTCAGCGAGGAAAAAAAGAAGCGATGCTAACATTTTCTCGAGTGTAGATGAAAGTGATCAAGATATAATACGGCGTAAAATTTACCAGTTATACGAGGAACATAGCGTGCCTACATTAGATATCTTAATTAGGTTGAAAAAGATAAAACCTGTATTAAATGTGGCAGAACTACCTTATGGAAGTACATTCAACACATGGGTTTTAGATTAAAAAAAAGGTAAGTTTTAATGGAATCTTTTAGAATTCGAAATTAACGACTGGAATATGTAGAAAAAATTAGGATTTATAGAGAACAACAAAGGTCAATTATTTACTTGGATGAAACCTGGTTCGACACTTATGATACCCCTGAAAAGGGTTGGGTTGGCTCAACTGATAAGTGTAAAACAAACGCGCCATCAAAAAGAGGTAAAAGAATAACTATTTTGCGTGCTGGCTCTAAAGATGGTTGTATTCCAAATGGACTTTCTCTGTCTGCGAAAAATATTAAAGATTCTTCTCTGGATTACCATGAAGACACCACCGCTGATTTATTTGAAAGTTGGTTTAAAAACAATCTAGTTCCAAACATTCCTCCTAATAGACAATGCAAGTTATCAGAGTAGACAGTTGACTAAAACCCCTTCCTCATGTGACAAAAGCAACAATCCAATACTACATGTATTATATTATATTTATTTTCACGAAGATTATATCAAAAAGCAATTAATTGAGGTTCTACAAAGCTTGAACCTACAAAAGGAATACGTCTGTGATAATTATGCAAAAAATCTAGGGCATACAATTTTAAGGCACCAACTGAAATCTGCCATTCATCATAACAATGTTTTTCCCCGTGTTAACTCCAATATCCTCAAACTTATAAAAATCGAAGTTTTAACATATAGAAAAAGCACAACAATCGAATATTATATTGCCAAGAATATAGAACAAATAATAATTAGAACAGGCGATGATAGCGATAGTGATACTGATATATTATGTGAATAATTTTAAGTCATTTAAGTAGGTAATAAAAATAATTTGTAATTTTATTTTAGATTTAAACATAAATACATACATAAATAAATAAATATTGTTTAGTGTCTTTCCTAACAAAACCCCAAGTAATTAAATTCTAAGCAAAGTACGGACCTGTTCGGCCACATTTCATTCTCACAGCTTGCCCGGGTCTTTCCTAATTCGTATCAGTTTCTTATATCTATGAACAGACTTTATATGATATACTTAATAAAAGTTGTAAGATCACTTACAAAAAATAGTAATATATATATATCGAGATTTTCCAATTTAGACCA